TTCATCAGATGTTAAGAAAGGATGTGCAGAAAACAGGGTACAGCTATTCCTCGCTTAACGTCGTAGTTACGTTCCCGAAAAATGTGACTTTAAGCAAAGCGATGCTAAGCGAATCCAATTTCCCCCTAAGAATGAATGTAAATAGGGAGGTTAGTATCCAGGGAACTTTTTTTCACCAGGCAAAAGACATTATATGCAGCCACCTTCCCCTGCTGCCCCTTGATGCGCGCTCAGGCAGGGAAGCGGGAGGCAGGGGGCCAACTCCCCGCTGCTGTGCACACTCCCAGGGGGCAGGGGCGACCTGAGCCCCCCATATCTGTACCCAGGGCAGACACAGGCTGTGGACTCCCACCCTGCTTCACTCACCTGGGGCCTCTGCAGCCCTGCGGGCATGACCCGGTGTGGCTGGGGGCAGCGGGGCCATGCGAGGATATCTGCGCCACTGCGAGCCCGCCCTGGCGATGCACCCCCTGCTCGTGCTGCTGCTTTGAGGGGTGCAGCCCCGCACCACTGCCCTCACTGCAGCCCTCCCCCTCCCCCAGATGAGCCACTTGCAGCTTTGTCCTGCTCTCCGCTGGGGGCCCGCATCCGTGCATTGCAGCCCCAGGCCACAAGCTCTGCCCAGCTCCCTGCCTACAGGGCCCTCAATCCCCCTCTCCCCCCGCACTTCCCTGCAGCTGCTCTGCAGGCTGCCTGGAGCCATGCGCATGTACATACATGCACGTGGTGCCCCTATCTCACCGCCTGTCTCTCAAGCAGGCGGCAGCCAAACAATGTTATAATGACACATTGCCCAACTTTAAACGCGTACGTTCCCTAATAGATCAGAGACGTAATAACGAAACAACGTTAACTGGGACGACATTAAGTGAGGAGTACCTGTATAGGAAAGGGAGAGAAATCAGAATGCAAAAGGCAGGGGGAAGGGGAGAGGGAGAGATAGCAGGAGGGGGCAATGCTGGGAAAGAAAAGCGAATGAGCAGTAAGGGGGTCACAAAAGCTAGTCCAGGTAATAAGATAAGAATCCAGTGTCTGTTTAAACCAGACTTAACAGGGGGAAGCTCCCAGAGCCATCGACCCCCCCACTTCTAATCCCTTTAACCAGAGGCAGTCATAATCCAGGCCTGGGGCCCTAATACTGCAACCTACCTTATGGATATCAAAGCCGATGGCCAAGTTCTCTCCTTTGCCCTCCTTGCGGCTTGTCCGTTTTGGCTTCTGCTGGATGGAGATAAGCACTTCGTCTTCTGCCTTCTTCACGTCAAACACGTACTAGAAGTAACAACACAGCCCAGGACGGGGATGGTGAGAGGCTTTTTGATCCCAGGGGCAACACTGACGGCCCAAGGCAGTGGGCTGGGGAAGGCTGAGCCCTACTGAGGGTCACCACAGCTTGTTCCCTGCTGGAGATAACCTGGGTTTGAATCCAGCTAGTGGGTATTTCTTCAGCAGACTGAGGTCTGGTCTACCTTGCAAAGGTTTGCAGAAATAGGATGTGGAAAGGTCACCCCTCCTTTACTACCACGGCTATGCCACTCTGCAGACAGAAGGAGGCTCCTGCTGTCTTACCTAATGTTCAGAAGAAATGTGTAATTATGGTACCAGATAACCCTTTTTGCTGTCCTACAATGCATCTCCATTGGGGTGCTCTGCTGGCCTACCTCCAGGGGCACAGGTCTAAGAGGCAGCCCCTCTGTAACGCACACAGGCCCTAAATTAGTGGGACTTGCTTCTATGTGACATCCCAGCACTGTTTGGGGAAAGCCGGCAGCTGGAGAAGCAGGGGATGGTGGGGGGAAAAGCTGTATGAAATTCATCTAGGCCCCGTAGTGCCTGAAAACCCCACCGTCTTTAATGAACTTATCCTCCCATGAGATAAGGGAGAGCTGTTCCCTGAAGGGGTGGTGATGTTCAGAGACTGAGATCACGCAGAAAAGCTACAGCCCAGCAAGGACCTGGTGCCCAGGTCTCTCAAATGTGAGGCTAACACCGCACCTGCTAATCCATCCTTCTGCTCCCTGCCCAAGGGCTGTGCCTGTGTTGATTTGGGATGGAGACATCGTGCCAAATCCTCATTGCTAGCTCCAAACAGAGCTTGCAGCACTGTAACAACAGCTGAAGAGATGTCACTGGAGGCCATGAAACTCTGATTAGAGCCCTATCTGGCTGCTTTGTTAGACAAAACTTTTCCATTGCGCCTGGCAGCCATTTCAGCCTTCCATCTCCTGGACGGAGCAGGCTCCTATAACCCTTTGAGGTCCATAGGTGACCTCCAGCAGGCCTCCCCAGCTCCCTGGCTCTGTACCTGGGGGTTCTGCAGGAAGGTGTCCTTGTGATTGATGCAGCCCCCGCTACGGTTCTTCAAGGGGTCGTCGTGTCTAGCCCAGGCCCCCTGCAGCACCGACTCTTCCCAGGTCTTGTGGATGCTCAGATAGGAAGTGTTTATGAGCCGGCACTTGATGATGTCAGTGTAGTATCTGCAGAAGTCTTCAAACGTCATCCTACGACAGGAGCAAAGCAGTTGAGAACAAGGGCCTGAGTTGCATGGGGTGGTGGCTTGTAGGTCAGCTGTGATATAGAGGCTGCCTGAAGCCGCCTCAAGTAGCTGAGGGTCTACAGCAAAACGTGTTACTGGTAGGAGCAATGAGAACTACCCTCTAGCTCAGGACTCTCCAACGTCTGCATGGCTGAGGGCACGCGCCGCACAGGCTTCCTGGGCTCCCCACCATGGGACCCCTGAACCTCCCTGCTGCATGAGCCCCTCAGATCTCCCTGCCATGCAGACTGAGTGGGTAGGGGGCCACCAGCAGCAGGATGCAGAAGCTGGAGGGACTGGGAGCTCACCGGCTGCAGAAGCAGAAGGAGCCATGTGGGGAGCGGCGCCTGGGTGGGAGCCCATAGTCCCCGTGTTAATCGCCTGTAGGCTGCATGGCCCACGGACGATGCTCTGGCCAGCCCTGCTCTAGCTCTAGTGGTCGAGCCTGGCAGCTCTGGAACCAAAGGAACGTGGATCTTGTCCCGGTTTCTCATGCTTACGTACATTATCTACCCCTCATATTATATACAGGGCACATGCATAACCAGCCCTGCTGACCCTCTCAGAAGGCTCTGAACCCAGGGCACTGAAGACGAGGGTTTCCAAAGAGCTAAAAGGAGTTAAACAGCCAAATCCCCAAAGGACAATGAGCTGAAAACCTTGTTTCCAGCTTAGACGCTATGGAGGTCTTAACCTCTTTAGACTGGAGGCCCCCTTGGAAAACATCAACTCTTAGTTTTCATTCATTTTTTTTGACTAGGGAAAAATAAAAGAGCAATTCTTCTGTTGCAAATTGCTCAGGAAGAGCACAATAGGGCAGAATGCTTTTAACACTATAAATTTCTATTGGAAAATTGGGTTCAGCCTTTAAATCATGCTCGCACACCCAACAGTGCTAACACTGGTGCGGCACCCTGGCTGAGCATCACCGCACTAGAGTGGGTCAAAGACGCACACTGCTGAGATGAAGGCCTGACATGGTCCTTTGGAGCTATAAATCTGACTGGATGATTTTCCAGTCTTCCTTTGCTATGTGTGGCGGGTTCACTCCAGTTCAGTGGGAAATGGGTGGAAGTAACTCCTTACCCTGTCTTGTCCTTCACCATGTACAAAGCCCAATGGGGGACTCACCAAAATTCTCCATCATCTTCCACCGTCATCCCCATCTTCTCCCTCTCGCTTTTGCTCACTTTTTTCCACTCTTCAGAGCTGTGGAGGGGAAGGGGACTGTTAATGTGAGTTAAAAAGGTTACAAATGGGCTGGGGTTCCAGTGGTCAGTCAGCCTGTATAGTACATGCTGGTGCATCGTAAGGGGTAGACCGAGGCCTATGAAAGGCTAAGCCTACTAGGTAAAGAAGGTGGGCTGCACCGGCCAATAGCCTCATGCTGCAAAGATTGTTAATACACATTCAAGAGATCCCAGGAAGGAGGCCAGGTCCCCTGCTACAGAGGCATGCAAAAACCTCCACCCTACATGCCAATCTGGCCAAGGGGTAAAATTCCTTTCTGACCCTAAATATGGTGATCGGTTTGACCCTGAGCAGAGGGGCAAAAGTCTAGCCAGGAACCACCAGCTTTAAGCCCCAGCCCAGTCACAATCCCCAGCCCTGGCTGCAGCCAGCACCCAGTGCATGAACACCGCGTGCCCCCAGAGGCTGGGGGGCACAGCGAGCTCCCGCAGGCGGTGGCAGTGCTGTCGACGGTGGGAGCATAGCAGTGGTGAGCTCCCACAGGCGGCCGTGGCACTGTCGGCAGTGAGGGGTGGCACCACTGCCGGCACTTTTTGCAAGGGTGCACTGCCAATCTCAGGCCGTGCACATGCACCAGCGTGCACCTGCTATGTGTCGCCAATGACTCAGTGCCTCTGAGGAAGGCTTAAAAAACCCCCCTGACACATGTAGCAGCAGGAGGGAGAAAAAGACCCCTGCCAGCCCCTTGTGGCAACCAGCTTAGCCCAGAAGCCTGGGAAATGCAAAGGAAATCCTGTGCCTAGATCATCCGTGATCAGTGACTGTCCAACCGCTTCCTCAACACCTCCGTGATGGAGAGTCCACAACCTCCCTAGGCACCTATTGCACTGCCTCGCTGTTCAGTTTACACTAGTGCTGCTGGCTAGGTCAGCTGCCAAGGATGAGGCTAATGATAAGAGGACTCAGAGCCCACATTTCCCTCCACCCCTGTGTCTCGAACTCGGCTGGGTTTGGTGATTGTGTCTCATGGAGGCTACCCACTTGGCCAGCTGTGGCAGAGGAGCTTGTAAATTCAAGCTGGGCACTATAGGATGACCTGGTAGAGCCCTCAGCAGCATAAAGTTGTCAGGAAGTCGGTGGCAGGGGATGGCCTGTGACCTGCCATCTCCATACCATTAACTCCCGGAGGCACCCAGGAAGGGTGTCAGGGCTCGGGGGGAGACAGAGCTGGCTTCATGGTTCTCCATCTGACCTCCAATCAGAACTGGGGTCTTCTGGGGTGTCCTAAGCCAAGTTCAGCTTGGGACCATTTGGCTGGTCCATCACTGAAGGACTTATCCCTGACTCAACCCTCTCTTTTCCACTCCCCGGTCACTTATAAACTGGCTGAAGATCTGACCCAGGCCTTGACAGACTAGACACAGTCTGACAGGCTCCTGGTGTAGGAATCAGCTCTTCCCAATCCCATTGCAAACCGCTACTACAGCCATGAACAGGCCTACAGCAGTGGACCACTGGATGAACTGAACGTAATGTTGCCGGCTGAGATATCGCATAGCACCAGAAACACTTTCCACTATCAAATGACAACAAGTTTCCCAAAGTTTGTCAGTAAGGGCCCATCTCATCCACCTGCCAAGCCTCTTGTCTCGCCACAGGCCCCACAAACATAAAGGACCTTGGCTAAGACCTGTCAGTGGTTGGGAAACCCCAACCTGTCCTAGGAAAGCTCCAGTCGCCTCCATGCCGCGTGGCCACCATCTTACTCACGTATCACTCCACGGGCCGGTCCACTCCCGCTCCCCCCAGGGATTCCTCATACGGATCATGTCCAGCTTCTCCGATTTGAAGAAGGCCAGCAAGCCGTGGCCCAGACGCACCTTCCGCACATCCGTCACCGCGTAGGCATGGCCCTTCACCAGGCCACAGTCCAGGCGGGCTTCCATGTCAGCTGCTGAGGTTGCCTGACCAGGGGAAGACACAGTCAAAGGAAAAACAAAAATGATCAGGACTTTGCACACTAGAAAGCCTTTTTTTTTCTCTCTGTCGTGATCTGGAGATCTTTCCACTCTGTCGTGACCTGGATTTACCCTGGAGATCTTCAAAAGGAGACTGGATGCACACCTTGCTGGGGTTATTTGACCCCAGCAGTCTTTCCTGCCCGGAGCAGGGGGGCTGGACCCGACGATCTCACGAGGTCCCTTCCAGCCCTAAATGTCGGTGAATCTGTGACAGAAAACCAGGCCGCTATAAAGTCCAAGGTGGTTGTATCTGGTCTGGCATGACAGTCATCATCACTAGCTCATCACCACTGGGGAGAGATGATGTTACCTGCAGTATGTGAGTTAGGTGGCTGGGGAACCACCAGGATTGCTGCTAACTAGCCTTTGTGGCATGATGGGGCTAAGACTGGATGAGTGGTGGAGGCTAAAACACCCTCATGCCTCAGGACAGGGTTGGGGTCAACTGGCTGGATGGGGTAAGAACATCCTGAATGGCAACTTCAGGCCATGCCAGAGGACACTCTTGACGCAGAAGGCAAATGCACACTCAGAGCTGCCAGTTCACCCCAGTTCACGGACTGAGTGCAAGCCACTGTCATGCATTCACTGTCATACCACCAGCTTTCCCCATGGGGCTGCCAGGCTGTTTGTGCAGGGGCACCCTGGAGCCTTCCGGCACCCGCACACAGGACGAATGCTGACTCTTTGGGGATGGGCAGTCTGAGCTCCCTGTCCCTCGTCAGGGCGTGATTGTGGTCTCATGGAAGCCAATGCCAGCCGATTCCCAGCCTCTGCATAGGACAAGCCCTTGCCATGGGTCCCAAGCACACGGCTGTTGGCTGTCTCCCATCCAGCAGTGTTCAGGCCAACACAAAGCACAAGACAAGAGTTTCCAGATGATAGTGAGGGTCTAGATTCGCTCTCCAAGCTGAATGGCAGCTTGCTGCACCTGAGGCCCCTGTGCCATCACTGCCCCTGGCATAAGGTGCTGCTCACGGGGGTACAAGGCGGCCCACCAAAGCTGTCTACGTGGCGTGGGCCACCAACACCATGCCCTGCACTTGCACCATGCCCTGCACATGCCAACCGATCTCCATGATCCCTAGGCACCAGTGCACCTCCAGAAGGTTGCAGCTGCCTGCCAAGACGCCTTTGTCCTCCCTCTGGGCCCTGCATCACCAGGATCTCCCAAGCCGGGGCTGCCTCCCTGGGGGCCCCTCCACAAAGGGGTTCCTGCAGTGCAAAGAGGGCCATAGGGGCTGCCATAACATCACCCTGCTGCCTTCCTACATCTAGAGTGGGCTGTGCATGTGTGTGCATGTACCCACATGGGATTTTCTCTATCCCAAACTCTGGTCCTCTTTCTTCTTCACCCTCCATGGACAGACACCAACCCCAGGGGAGATGAGCCCCCTATGGCAGCCCAGGTAGGGGAGTGCCACTGAAGTATCTGAGGGCCCCCCATGTGTGCATATGGCAGGTAAGGTTGCTGCCCCGCTGTGTTCAGCAAGCGCTGACACCTCCAGAGGAGGGAAGAAGGGAGACAGTAGGATGTCTGGTAGGGAATGACGTAACGGATAAAAGCTGGGCACTGGCCTGGCTCCCCCAGTGAACAGTATCAGACAGTAACCGAATTGGACAGTGAAGAGCAGACTTTTGAGGGACTGCCCCATCAGGCTCATATTTGGTCTACTCAGATTGCAAGCGCTTGGGAGCAGGAACCCTCTTTCCATGTCGTGCATTCAGCGCCCAGCACGAGACCCAGACCCTGAACCGAGACCTCTCGCCTGGTCTGCAGTGCAATCACCGACACCCTCCATTCCTTACTTTGATGGAGCAGCTGATGAGCCCTCCCCGACTGTGCACCTTGAGCACACGCTCGAAGAGGAGGTTGCGCTTGGCTTCATCGTTGATGTAGTCCCCTTCGGTCAGGTCGATGGGCTCCGAGACGCCACCTGTAAAATCTACCAGCGCATCGGCTGTGTTGCCTCCATCAAGGGCCTCGTAACAGCCCGACAACCTGAGGGGAGGAAGCAGGGAAGGAGAAAAGGAGGCGGCCTGAAATCACACAAAGCTCCCAGCAGGAGGCAGGATGAGCAAGGAGAGGCCCAACAGTGTTGCTATAAACTGGGCTCTTCCAGCTTTATAGACTTGCTTGGCGTAGCAAGCAGGCGGGAGAAGTGACTTTTTGCTGTGACTCTCTTCCTCCCTCCCTTTTACCCCAGGTCTAACTAAATGCCAGACCAGACCAAAAAGCACATGCCCGTAACTAACAACGCTGGGCCAACTCTTCACCAAAGACTTCATCCCCATCCACCAGTTCTGGGGCTGCTTTGAACCTGTAGACACTTTTCAGGATGTGGACTGTCTCTTTCCATGTTTGCCTCAACCATGCATAGTGGGACTCTGATCCCAGTGGGACTTTTGAGTGCTACCATAATAAAATAACAGTCTTTAAGAACCACCAGCCACCCCAGAGCGTCACTGAAAACTCCAAGCAAAACTTTCCTGAGGTTCAGAAAAGTTTGGTGAACAGCCCTTGCCCTGTAGTTTTGAATAAATGGGACCTAGAGATAAGGCTGAAATATAGTTCCCACTCCGTGTCCAGCTCAAGGGGGAATGACAAGCACAGGAGGTCTCACAATATATTTGAATGTTTGCAGGACCTGCAAAGCAATTAAACTTTTTGGTCCTCATCTAAACAGCTGCCCTAGGCAAGTGTCTTCTCTTGCTGAACATTTCTAGTGAATTAATACCAATGCAAGACGGAGGTGTCTGTGGCATAGGAGTGGAGTCAGGAGGTCAGTTCTATCCACAGATGTTTTGGAAACCAAACAACTCAAACCAGTGTGAACTATGGTTGCTCAGAGCCTTTGCCAACCAAGAGAATGATACGGAGGTTCAGGCATTCAAATGCAAAGATATGGACCTTGATCTCTTGAAGCTCTCTTCATTTTGCAAACAGGGAAGTATAAGGTTTTTATATATATTTTTGGCATGGTTACATTCATTAGGCCCTTGGAGATTTGTGGTGTGATCATTATTTTTACTATTGGCAAGTACAACCCAGCAGCTGATCCAACATCTTCCATTCCAGTGAGTTCTCCTCCTCTTGCATGCTGGTGACAACTGGAGCGGAAGTTGTAGGCGCTTCCCCCAAACAGCAGGTGGTTTTGTATGGGTAGGTCTTCCTACATCCCAGGCTCTGCTATAAGCATGCCCATCATCGTAGTGTCAAGTGCCATAAAACCACAAGAAGAAATGCAAAAATCTAGAATGTGTGGTTCAGAGCTGAGACCTTTTATTAGACCAACTGAGAAACTGCAAAAAAAAATAAATCTAGATTTCTGCATTTCTTTTCGTCTCAGACCAACACAGCTACCAACTACATCCCATAAACCCACAAGGCACTATGTGCTGTCATGCAAAGAACACGGGAAGACACTGGACCTTCCCAGCACCGGAGCAGCGCTCTAACCACTATTACCACTGCCTCCAATAGGGGTAAACACAGGGAGCACCCACCACTGCTACCAGCCAGTCCCCGCACCCATGTACCTACTTGGCATAGGCCTTTTCCACCAGCGCGCACCAGAACTCGTTCTTGGAGTTGGAGTGGCAGTAGATGAGCTGGTTGTGAAGCGTCGGCAGGCGGTCGTCGATCACCACGTCCAGCCACTCGCCGAAGCGCCAGAACTGGAAGTGGAAAATCCCGGCGTAGCTCTCGGGCTTCTCGGGATTCCACTCCTGCTCCTTCCAGTCTGGGATGACCTGAGGGGGTCAAGGGATGGGACAATCTGGTTACCTGCCTGTTATGGAAAAGCAATTCTTTGCTCCACCATGTTAAGTGTGAAATGGATATCACTGCAAATGCGGGATCTCTGAATGGTCTGCCGAGCCCAGGATCCCATCTCAGCTCCTCGCCAAGGCTGAATGTGTTCATGGGAGGGTGGAGCTGCCTGCAAACACGCTCAGCAGGGACTGCAGCGGGTTCTTATAGCAAGGGTTTGCTGCAATGAAGTTTTGGCCCTGACTTTGGTGCGACTCCACCAGAGTCAGTGCAGATTTACACTGGTGGAAGAGAGGAGAATTAGGCCCCCGGGACCTGAATCCTATTTATTTACAGCATTATCTGGAAGGGCCCTGGAGCCACCCACTTAGCAGTATAATGTGCAGTGCTGATGAGCCCCAAATAACGATGTCATTCTGATTAGGCCACAAGGACAAGAGGCATGGGGGGGTCTTGGTGATAAGCACAGCCTCCACAGAGCAGCTCCACAGCTACTGTAGAGCTTGGGAAGGTGCTGGAGCAGATAGGAAAATGGCTTGAAGAATCATTAGCTTGATTAGTGGAACATCAAGAGCAGTATAAAGGAGAGACAATTGTTACCACCCGTGGAGTGATGAACAATGAACCATTATATCGACTGACTTCCTCAGCTGCCTGATTACAGGGGTACAGGCTGTAGCCACCCAGGAAGAGCGCACACCAACTGCAGATGTGTCCTCAGCCTGACGAAGGGTATTTATACCCAAAAGCTTGCAAAGAAGAATTTTTCCACCTATTTGAGTTGGTCTAATAAAAAATACCAGGTTTACCCAAATAAACTTGTCGGCTGCCTGAGGAAGTAATGCCCTTGTTGCCGCGCTGCGGAGCAGGAATCAAAGCAGGCTGGTTCTATTCTGGACAGAAAATCAGTTTTCCTGCTTAAGATGTGCACCCCGCTTTTGGGGGACTGATTTTTTGGGGAAAGGTGTGTGTGGTATGCTAGTAAATACGGCGCCCTCTCTTCAGAACTCCTTGTGTTTTCCGCAGCAGTAGCAGAGCATCCAAATGTTGGCGTTAAGTGTTCACGGGAGTGGAGAGACACCTTGAGATATTAACGAGGCCATCAGTATGACAACGCATCAGCTTAACTTGATCTCGAATGAGCCCTGATCAATACAGACTGCATGATGGGAACACCGAGAACCGGGTGCTCTCAGGAGCGCGGTAATTTCCAAGAGTGGCTTCTGCTAATAAAGATGCCTCTTTTTCCTTCTGGGAAGCTGCCAGCAAAGGATCAGATAGCACTGAACAAAATGCCCCCATGAGTCTCTCCTGACTGCAGGCTGTGCTAATAAATTACCACGGGATTAATCAATTCACTATTAATGCAGGCCCTGGGAACTGGTCAAAAGTTTAGCACGGATGGCTTTTCATGGCAGAGAGCAGCCGACCAAGGCAAGTGGATGTGGTAGCTCTGACGCCTGCCTAATGTAAGTGCTGTAAGGAACCACAAAGGTTGGACACCTCCGTTTCCACCTCTTCAGCCTAAAACACTAGTGAAAATATTCAACACCATGAAGTCAACAGCAGCTTCATGGTATTGGGAGCAAGGCTGGGATTAGAAGGAACTTGGCCAGCTTTTCCAAGTAGCCTTCCCAATGTGTCTTGTCCCAAGCGGCCTTCCCAATGTGTCTTGTGCCAAGCAACCTTCCCAATGCACCTTGGGCCAAGCAACCTTCCCAATGTGTCTTGTCCCAAGCAACCTTCCCAATGCGCTTTGGGCCAAGCAACCTTCCCAATGTGTCCCAAGCAACCTTCCCAATGTGTCTTGTCCCAAGCGACCTTCCCAATGCGCTTTGGGCCAAGCAACCTTCCCAATGTGTCCCAAGCAACCTTCCCAATGTGTCTTGTCCCAAGCAGCCTTCCCAATGTGCCTTGTCCTAAGCAACCTTCCCAATGCGCCTTGTCCCAAGCAACCTTCCCAATACGCCTTGTCCCAAGCACCTTCCCAATGTGTCTTGTCCCAAGCAGCCTTCCCAATGTGTCTTGTGCCAAGCAACCTTCCCAATGTGTCTTGTGCCAAGCAGCCTTCCCAATGTGTCTTGTGCCAAGCAACTTTCCCAGTGTGTCCCAAGCAACCTTCCCAGTGTGTCTTGTGCCAAGCAACCTTCCCAATGTGTCCCAAGCAACCTTCCCAATGTGCCTTGGGCCAAGCAGCCTTCCCAATGTGTCTTGTCCCAAGCAACCTTCCCAATGTGTCCCAAGCAACCTTCCCAATGTGTCTTGTCCCAAGCAACCTTCCCAATGTGCCTTGGGCCAAGCAGCCTTCCCAATGTGTCTTGTCCCAAGCAACCTTCCCAATGTGTCCCAAGCAACCTTCCCAATGTGTCTTGTCCCAAGCAACCTTCCCAATGTGCCTTGGGCCAAGCAGCCTTCCCAATGTGTCTTGTCCCAAGCAACCTTCCCAATGTGTCTTGTCCCAAGCAGTCTTCCTAATATGCCTTGTGCCAAGCAGCCTTCCCAATGTGTCTTGTCCCAAGCAACTTTCCCAATGTGTTTTGTCTCTGATCCACAGCAGCCACCTGTGAAGAGGAGAGGAGAGCTGAGGGCTCCATGGCCAAGGTGGCTCCCGATTTCTTCGATGGTTGGGCCATCAAGTGGTTGTGACCTGGATGCTGGGACCTGGGCTGATGCTACCAAGTGGCTTCATGCTGGGCCAGGAATAGCTCTGATGTGATGAAGGCCACTCATCGTAGCTGACTGGGGCTAACTCTGATCCAGTGACCCGGAGATGGAAGAGCTGTTTACCATCAAAAACAGCGCCAGGTTGGCATGGGACACTTGAAGAAGTGAGTGCTCCCAGAAACCCCAAACCTGCAGAAGGAGCCATCATGCACCTGGACATTGCTAAATCTACAGGGAGGTTGTTGTGAACTGCTCTCCGCCTCAATGCAGAGCTTTCAGAGAGCTGGTTTCAGCATCACTTGGGAGACCTCAGAAGAGACGAGAGCCTGTACTGACCGCTTGCGGTCAAGGCGAACAGCAGTCAGGAAACATCACCCTGAAAGCCCAGTAGCAACCAACCCTACAGGGCCTGGAGACAGGCAAGAAGCCAACACAGGATGAGTGTGCTTTCAGCTAAGTGGTGTGAGAAATACCACGGCACTTGATATTTGTGGAGGCGGGGGAAGACGCTAATCACCCAAGGAATAAAGCATTACCATGGGAAGCAGCGGATGGGAAAAGTAGTCATTTAAGAGCTGCAAATGGAGCCCTTGGCTTAGATGTGGTCTTCACAAAATTGTTTTGCTGGCACAGCGCTGTCGGAGAAAATTATCCCTCCCTGCCCCACCACCGCGACTCTCCTGGCAGCATCCCTCCATGCAGGGACAGAGCATGGGGGACATGAATTTGTAATGACGGTTGTGGCTTCCCCAGTGGGATTTGCTGCTACCTCCACTAGGACAGCTCTGCTGATGCCCCATGCTTTGACCCTGAATCGGGGGATTTAAGCAAGTGCTTGAAAATTAAATGTCTGCTCGGGTGCGTTCCTCAGCAGGCCTGTTCGATCTCTCCTCTGGACCTCCCGGGCCTTGTGCTGACAGACCACTGCCCCTTGGTGCTGGGTAACCAAGGCGAGACCCGGCTTCTGCTGTATTTCTGTTTTATCACCATTGCCCCTCCTCACTCCTTGCATTTTCAATTGCCAGTGAAAAGAGACTCTCATGGTGGAATCCTCCCCCTTGCTGTGAAGCTAAAGGTGACTGAGTTGTTGAACAAGGTTGAAGGCAGAAGGCCCCTTAGCTAGCACAGGGATCTGGGGAGAAGACCTTTCCTAGCAGCCCCGCACCTGGGTACACTGCTAGATGAAAACCACTCGCATCCTGAGATGCTGCCAGCTTCCCCCAGAGCCTCACCCTCCTCACCTCCCGGCATCAGAGCCAGCCTGCTCCGGGGATCTTAGCCTGGGGGATCATTTACACCCGTGCAAAGCAGAAGGGGAAATCCTGCTAGCTAGACCCCTCCACTCACCACTTGTCTGCTTTGTTCCTGACCCCACGTGGGCAGGTGGATGGCAGGGCAGGGGAGATGAGGGTGATGGGTGTGCGGAGGGAGAACTGCGTTGTGATCAGCGTATCACCAGCAAAGCGCTGGTATGGAAAGTCAGTAGGACGCAGGCAGCTTGGGGGGATCTGGGGAGCCCAGGCCTGCAGCGCTGGGGTGTCTGCACTCAAAAGGATCCCTGCTGCACTGCTGCCATCGCTCTCCAATGCGCCGAGGCGTCGTGTCGGCACTGCTCAGCGTGCCAGCACCTGCGTGCAGGTCCCGGCTCTCCGGTGCTGCCCTCGAAGAGACACTCCCCTCCTCTCCGCTCCAACTTGCCCCCCAGCCAGCCATACACCCCTTACTCCATCTCAGCCTCGCCCACTTGTGACCCTGTTTCCCCCCACTTCTACACCCCATATGCCTAGTATATCATCCTACTGCACAGCCCCCATTTCAGATCGCCCTCCCCAGCTGACTCCAACTTTGGACAGCTTCCATGAGACATTACGGGATTCAATGTGGTGTGTACCTGGAGGCTGGGGGACAGGCGGACCTAGAGGGAGCAGAGACCAGAGGCAGACAGGGAGGCCTTTGCCCCTGCACAGCTTTGGTGCCGAAGCAACGGCTGGGATCATTGTAGCCCTTTTGTCATTACAGCGTGACACAGAGGGATTTGAGGACAAATCCCAGAGCAGCGTTAGCTGTGGAGTTGCTACAAACACCTCCAGCATCCAGGGTTAAGACTTGCTTAGTAACCAGGGCAGCCAGCAGTGCCCTGACACACACACACAGTGTGCAGGGAGGGCTGTGGGCACACACACAGCTGGGGTCCAGCTGGTAAATGGGGAGGCATACCTCAAGTCATTTGCTACACGAAGGTGGGCTGGAAGAGACGCACGACGGCTAGAGAAACCTAGTGGGAATGGTGTGGGCAGGGCCTGGTGGGCCCTGCTTGGTTATCCGCAAGCAAGCTGAGGAAGTACGGGCTGGATGAATGGACCGCAAGGTGGAGAGAAAGCTGACTGGATCATCAGGCTTAGAGGGTAGTAATCAATGGCCCGATGTCTAACTGGCAGCTGGTATTGAGTGGCATGCCCCAGGGGTTGGGTCCTGGGGCTGGTTTGGTTCAATATTTTCATTAATGATTTGGAAGATGGGATGGAGTGCACCCTCAGCAAGTTGATGGATAACACCAAGCTGGTGGGTATAGTAGATACACTGGAGGGTAGGGCTAGGATTCAGAGTGACCTCGATAAATTGGAGGATTGGGCCAAAAGAAATCTCATGAGGTTCAACAAGGACAAGTGCAAAGTCCTGCACTTAGGACAGAGCAATCCCATGCACTGGTGCAGGCCGGGGGTGACTGGCTGGGCAGCAGCTCTGCAGAAAAGGACGTGGGGGTGACAATAAGATGGGTATGAGCCAGCAGTGTGCCCTTGTTGCCAAGAAGGCTAGCAGCATCCTGGGCTGCATTGGTAGGAGTGCTGCAGGCAGGTCAAGGGAAGTGATTCTTCCCCTCTATTCAACACTGGTTAAACCACACCTGGAGTCCTGTGTCCAGTTTTGGGCCCCGACTGCAGAAGGGATGTGGACAAGTTGGAGAGAGTCAAGTGGAGGGCAATGAAGATGGTTTGGGGGCTGGGGCACAGACTTATGAGGAAAGTCTGGGGGAGCTCGGCTTATTTGGCCTAGAGAAGAGAAGACTGAGGGGGAATTTGACTGTAACTCCCTGCAGGGGGGTCAATAGAGGCTGCAGCTGGGCTGTTCTCAGTGGTGGCAGGTAACTAAACAAGGAGCAATGGGCTCAAGCTGCAGCAAGGGAGGTTTAGGTTGGATATTAGGAAAAACTAGGAGGGTGGTAAAGCACTGCAACGGGCTACCTAGAGAGGTGGTGGAATATCCATCCTTGGAGGTTTTTAAGGTCTGGCTTGACAAAGCCTTGCTGGGGATGATCTAGTTGGGGACGGTCCTTCTTCAAGCAGCGGGCTGGACTAGATGCGACCTCCTGAGGTCCCTCCCAACCCTAATTTTCTATGCTTCTATAATTTGACCTATCCCTCAGCCCACACCCTGGAGCTCAGGGTCACCTGGGCCAACATATGCATCACTTGGGCCAACATATGCATCACTGACTTGCCGTTCACCCTGGAACAGCCCCTCTATTCTCACCGTGACTTTGGCACAGGCAGAGGAGAGGCCGCTTTGGAGAGTTCACCCAGAAACCATGGGGATTAGCGAGTGCTGCGAGAACAAATCAGGTAAGTCACCTCCCCAGTCCCGGCACTTTGGCTTACGGGGCTCCCAAATCCTGGAGAGGTGACCCTCCGTTTAGGATCAAGGTTCCCAGCAGGAGGCCTGGGGTAAGTAAAGCGGGGATGCCGTCAATGCAAGTCCCCGGACCTGATCTTCAACACGATCTCCAAGACAGGCTTTCCCTCCCCCCACCCCCATTTAAAGAATTACCAATTAGGAGACAAGACATCTGTGACCCTGGAGAAATGATCCTATGTAGAAGGAGGAATGACAGGATGTAATTTCCTACCTGCAGGTAAGGAGCAGGGCTCTCCCATGGGGAGCCCACAGCTCAGACGGGGAAGGTTTCATATGAGATCTGGGGAGAGTATGGGCGAAACCCTTCTCTGCAGAGGACTTGGACAAGGTCAAGGCTTTGCACGTGGCCAGATCCTCAGTTGCATAAACCGACACACCTAGGCACACACAAACACACACTCATACACCAAAAAGGCCTAAACACCAAAATAAGCATCCTGCACCAGAGGCCAGCACCCTTTTTCAGGCTGCAGGCTGGTATAACTCAGCTCCAATCCAACGTGGACCATGTAGCTCCAGCAGTGCATCAGTGGCAGGGGGGGCTTTCCTCTCCCCCCACCCCAGGGCCAGGCAGCTGGGAGCTGATGCCCACCAGCTGGAAGCCGTGCCCAGGCTGCAGCCAGGGAGCAGGGGACTAGGGGAAGCAATGGCAGTGCAGTTGCAGCTCCCAGCTGCCTGGCTCTGGTGTGGACTCAGGGAAAGACCCTGGCACTAATGCACTGCTGAAACCACTCGACCTGCGTTGGGCCGGGAGAAGCAGCGGTGGTGCGGGTGCAGCTGGAAGTTGTCCAGCCCCAGCGTAGCTCTTTGCTGCCTGGCGCGAACATGAGCACAGGAGCAGGCATAGGCAAAGCCCCCCCAGCTCTGCCAGCAGGATCCAGTGGCTCTGCGGGCCAGACGGTGCCCATGGGCTGTGTGTTGCCAACCCCTGCTCTACACGACATGTTTACAAACTTCGTGATTTATTAGAGGGAGCCGGGAGGGGGGGGAAAAAAAAATCACCTAGAAAAATACTTGTGGGTTGAAACACATGGTGGCTTCTCCTTTATTGTGTATATGCTATGGGCATTTTAAACAAGAGACATTGGGTCAATGGTGGACACACACAGTCTCTGCTGCAGGCGATCCATAAGGACAAGGCTTTTATACTGCACTGCACACACATGCACACCCAGCAGCATGGAAGTCAATGAAGGAACAGCAGAGTACCCGTACAGAGCTGTGACCAGAGCATCGGTGACCAAGGCTTTGTAGTGGTTAGGGTTAGGGTGACACTAGACATGTGGGTGTCAGGGGAAGGTGCCTATTAGAAACCCACATAAAACACGGCCCGGAGCTCCAGGACTAAACATGGGAAGCTCCTCTTCCTGCTGACTGGGTGCACCCTTGCACAAGGGCCTGGCTATGGACAGAGACAGGTGCACAGCTTCACAGGATTCAGGGAGGCATGCCGGAGAATAGTGTCCCCCCCCAAAAAAAAATCACTCAACACTTGCAGAGCAGGAGACGAATGCAAGCTGCCACTATTTTGCAGCAGCACAGGGGGGACCATGGACATGTTCCTGGTGGGACCAGTCTGCCTCCCAGCACTGTGGGGGACGCAGCTCTTTGCAGCCCAGGACAGGGGGGGTAGCCCCAGCTTGCCTACCTCTCCAGCATGTTCCTGCCCCAAACTGCTGCCAAGAAATCCAGTGCCTCCTGCTCCACTTGCTTCCACCGTCGTCTGGCACAAAGTCCCAACCTCACTTTTGACAAAGGGGCGAACTCTTCCTCCTCCTTTACAGCGAACCTTTCCTATATCGGAGGAACCGTGAGTGATGAGGACAAAGCGGAGGTGGGTTTGTCACCACTGAGACTCTTCCGAGGTCTTGGTTTGCATGCAGAGTACATAGCTTTAGAGCAACTCCTAATGCTGTGTCCTCCAAACACGTACTCGCAGGTGCACCTTGACTGAGGACCAGGGGACCAGCAATAACGATCCTTAGCACTTCCCTAGACTTCCTGCACTCTTTGACAAAGGAGGGTAAGATAGCACCAGCTCCAATTTACAGATGAGGCAAACTGAGGCACAGAGCATCCCCCTGACAGCAGTACAGCCAGGAAAACCACGATCAACTGACTTCCAAGCCTGCAGCCTTCCCTCTGGACCATGCAGCTCCTGCGGACACCCAGGACACAGCTCTGTGCCTAGTTTAAGTGTTAGCAGGGCACTCTTTGGGACAGAAGAAGTGCCTTAGCCTATGGCTTGAAATCTCCTGTCCAAAGTCACAGCACTGTACACCAGGTTATTAATTAATATAGCTCTCTGTGCTTTCATATACCTGTACTGTCCATGCATGTATTCTACAAAGGGGGAGCACTGAAAAAGACTCACACCTGGGCCTGGCCTATAAAGGGTTATATATGTTCAGAAAACCTCTTGCTCCTGCCCTTAGAGCTTCTCCAGCTCTGGATGCTGCGGTGGATTGATTTTCCAAGCGATTTCAGCTAGGAAAATCCCCAGGCAGTAACAGCGCTCTGCTTGTGTCCCAGTAACGCAAAGGCAGAGAGAGGCGCTTGCTGCTTGCAGGGAAGAGATGAGCCACTGAGATTAACAGCAGGCTAAATCCTCAAGTTCTCGCCCGGGGTGGACCAGCAGGTCTGCAAGAGGCACAGCTGTCCTGGGGCTCCGGGTGCATTCATTTCCTGGGTGATCGGAGACTCCTTTTGAGCCTGATGTTCAGAGAGGCAGAGCCCTGCAGCTCCAGCTGAAGGCAAAGCAAACCCTGCAGATGCTTCACAGGACTCAGAGAGGCATCTCGGAGAGTAGTGTCCCCCCCACAAAAAAAAATCACTCAACACTTGTGCAGAGGCCGGCTTTGAGCTTCAAATGCAACGTACTGCTCCCTGGGGCCGTCCCTTTCTTCACAGGGCCACCGGCTGGAGGGGGCTTGGAGTATTTCCACCGGACCTTCAGCTTCCAGGCAACGTGGCTGGCCGGGATGGACCAACCGAACAGGCACGCCTGCTCCCCGCTCAGCCGAGGAGCTTGCAGGGCTGAACGCTAGCAAGCGACACGGTGCTCTAAGACTCCCAAAGCAAGAGCCCGCTCCGTCACGTCGGCTGCAAGCTGTGGCGCGCGCCAGGGGACGTTTCTCTGCGGGCGGGTGGGCGGGGGATCCATTTT